CCAATATTTAGCCTCTTTTTTTGCTTGCACGCACAAGGTTAGTGAAACACTTGTTGGTTGAGGTTATCCCTAACTGTAAATATGGGGAATCTAGTAACTTAAAGATGCTCTAGCGTCCTTTCAAACAATTGGACTAATGATAAACTTCTCAATTTTTTGCTTACGCAAACGTTAAATTTTTCCCTAACCCTAAAAGTAAGACCCTTCTTGGAAACCTTCCATAATAATGTTTATTTTTCTGAGAGATTTTAATAGATCAAATTTTTGTATTCTAAAAAATATGCAAGTTATTTTTAAATGATAATGTCTGTGTTATGTTCTTAAAGCTTTATTATGTGTAACGTTTTACTCGGTATGATCATTATGCCGCTTCATTTTTCGCTATGTCCCATACCGTTGCCGTCCGTCCTATTATCTCTCGATCCTTGGAAGAAGCTAAAGTGAGAGCCAGGATCCTATATCGCGCTTGGTATCGCCAAATACCCTACATAGTTAAGCAGTATAAACAAGAGAAAGTATATGCTACAGAAGCCCAGCTCCTTGATTGCCTTCGGAAGGAATTTCGAATGTATCAGGGAGTAAACGACGTCAGAGCGCTCGATCTCCTTATTCATAAGGTCTTTTATAATAGATTGAGTTATTTAATCTAGGGCCAGAATGATTTAGTTGAGGCTGCCTTTAATTTCAAATCGGATGTGCACATTATGAGTTATCTGAAAGATACAGAGATAAGAAAACCAAATGATTTTCTTGGGAAATTCCTTAGTGGCCATACATATTAATTTTATTATTTTATGTAATTAGCTTGTATTTACCTAATATATGCATATTATGTGATATATAATTGATTTCTATGCCCTATTAGTTGGTGTGTTGTTTTTACATAATTAATTTTTTGATGGGGTTTGTTTCCATTTAATCCTAAATTCATTTATTATCACCCATTTTTAGATTATGCTGTACTTATCTCTCTGAATGCAATTATTTCTCATATCTCGACTTTTAAGGGTTTTAGAGTCATTCAGCCACTATTGGTTCAGATATGCACGTGGGCCAGTAAGTACGTAGTCATTATTATTAAAAACTCGGATTAATTAGTAAGCCAACATATCTACCAATTTCAATCAAGCGTGATAATTCTTATCATCTGTGCTAATTTTTAAATAATTTG